GAATTGCCTCCGATAGCGGTCATTTCAGCAGGGAGTTAACGACGATCGTTTCTCAAATCATTGAATCTCGTATATTTTAATTTTTATAAATATAATTTTATAATATAAATAATTCTTCCATTATTAGTGTTAATGAGAGAATATTTATTGAGAAGGATATATATAAAATCTTCTCTTTTTTTTGTTAATGTCGCGAATCGACGTCGCGCCCTCGTGCTGAAACCGTTGCTTCCGGGGATCCGAGACAAAGAAAACCAGGAATTAACTCTGGTTCTGCAACGGCGCAACTAACTTTCCACATTGAAAATTGCTTATACTCCTCTTCGGAGTTTCAATATATTAAATAAAAAATTTACTTGCCGTTAGCATTTGAAACCTATCCATATATGTTAAGGCAACGAATATACAAGATAATCTACGATCTACAATCTATATACAACGAATATACAAGATAATCTACGATCTACGAGATGCACTGTAAAAAAAGTATGTAAAATTACATACATAATAAATGTAGCGATTACTCTATTAATAACGGAAATATATAAATGTATGTACTTTTACAAAAAAATTATTTACTCTTTGTTGTGTAAATACTCGTTTGTACATGATGAAAACTTACAAAAGAATGTAAAATTTACACAATCAAAAGCAAGCACTTCACTTATTATATAAGGTAATAATTTTACTTACAAGGAGTAAATTTACTGACGTATGTAAATATACACCTTTACTAGATGGTCCGAATATTACTCACTATAATACTTGTAATTGTACATGTAATTTTTTTACAGTGTGTATATTCATTGCCGTAATAAAAAAAGTTTCTCACTCACCGACCCGATGCGCAGCAGCGGAGTTGGTGATTCTACGTTGAACCTGTAACATACAATTATAAAGTTCATATTAGAACAGAGTATTCAAGAAAATGAATATTAAAGAAATTAATTTTTAAATTATTAAAAATAAACAAGAGAAAGATTAATTTTATACAAAAGAAAAAATATTTACCCTAAAGTTGCTCCGCCGGTGCCTGATGCCTTCCCCAGACCTCCTCCTCCACTCAGGTTGTCTTCTTGCACACTCGCGAAAACACAAAGATCGTTCGCGCGATTTTACACTTTCAAAGTCTTTAGTCCAATCACACAAACGGCACTCCCGAACGCGACGCGACACGACGAATCGCCGCGCGCGGTTGCGATTCGTTTAAAGTGGCGAAAATGTGCTCTCTAAAAGTCAATCGGTGGATTATCACTGAAAACGGTGAATCGATTCGTTATTTTCAGCAATAATCCACCGATTAACTTTCAGAGAGTGTTAGGCCTGGTTTATCATTTTCTGGTTAACTGTTAATATGGAAGTTACTCGACTCTCTATGCTTTTCTATATTATTGTCTAAGAAGAGACAGAGAATCGATTAAGCTATGGTCAACAGTTTATTAGAAACTGAAAAATCGGGCCCAAATAGTGCAATGGGTACCTTTGGTTGTCCCGTCTTTAGAGTATGTACTCTCTAAAATCAATCAATGGATTATCACTGAAGACAGTGAATATTCACTGATTCAGTGATAATGTACTGATTAATTTTTAGAGAGTAACTCTTCGGGGTACTTAAGTCCCTCCACCACGACAAGGTAGTACCCAAGGAGGGGATTATCGACAAAAAACCGTGCAATTACACATGTGTATATTTAGGAAAATAAATATTGAGTGAGAATTGCATCACTGTCTGCTGCAGTAATTTTGTAGAACATTGGCATCGTTAAAATAAATCCAAATGCAAGAATAAAGTGGAGTTTGCTGGAAACACGAGCGGGGTAAGAAAGTTTTCTATCGTGTTCGCTCTCTCTCGTCTTTTCTCTCTGTAACATATACCTTACGAATTTCAGTGTGAAACTGTTCGTCGAGGATTCGTCAGAGGATTTATCGAACATCTGATGGACGTGTGGATAGAGATGGGATAAAGATTGCAGGCGGTGTCTGCACCGACCTACAACTGCACCGGACGGTACGGGGATGTTTGAGATACGAGGAAGTCCCGCGTCTCTAGCTTTTAAAAGTCCGCCGCTGTTATTGTTGGTCCTGTGCCAACGTAAGTAATGGCCAGCATGGACGCAAATATATCCTCCCGCGCTTTTTCTTATTTGCCTTTGAAGTGCAGAGATCGGTCCGCGAACCGTCTGCACGCTCCTCGCTGAAAGAATTATCACTCGATAGGGCGGACTGTGTCTATTTCGCGTAGTGGGTCACCTATGTAGATACAATTTGCCTGTGCAATTATCTACATCAAAGAGTTGCCCAAATCACTTGCCAGTAGGCAAAACAAAACGTTCGTCAAGCTAATTGTGAGCCTGGCGTCTTTTAATTGCCGCTCAGACATTAAGATAAATTACATCGCATTCATCAATACAAGATTTTTTTTTATATATCAATTAGATAAATACAGAGAGGGAGATCGTATAATATATTACTTTAACTAGTAAAGTACGGCTAAGATATTGAAGTTCAAAGACGAGATTGAATTAATTGAAAATATAAAGTACTAATATACGAATTTTGCATGTAAAATTATATATTATAAAAAGATATGTTTACGACTGCTGAATATGATATGATATCTTCAATCACATATCTATAATAGTATTTCTAATTATAACTGTATATAAATAATTAATTATCGATATGTGTAAGATTTTAGATTTATCTTTCATGAGATGCACTTTTATAAATCAAAACTACCACTACAAAACCTCTCGTTAAATAATTTATCGTCATTTATGAAGTTGTATAAATAAAAAGTAAACTTATCTATATAAGTGTTTTCATCATTAGTTACTCTTTGTAGAATTTTTGTTTTGCTTTTTTTCTTCAAATATTTATAAAACAATCATAGAAAGTATGAATGCGTAAACGTATGTAAACGTGAGTTTCTGCAATTGCGTTTAATGTCAGATGTTTCGGTCATCTAATGCGACTCTTCTCAGCGACATACAAAAATTCATATTATAATCTGGTATATTTAAACAAGCGAGAAAGTTGGCAGGAAGAAGAAAATCTGAATCAATTGGAATAAGAATTAAGGAACGGAGAGAATTACGATAAATCATTTTTCCGCAAGGCTGACCGACAATTTTAACGAAAGTGTCATCGGGCAGTGGTGCCATCTCGTGTGGCCTAGGGCTAATACCATTGACATGGTCATAATGCACACATATGCATATGTAGTTTCTTGATTTCTACCGCCATCTGCGTTATCAATATTATCATGTGGAACAAACGTTAACAATTGTCAGACAACAGAGATATCGATTAAGAAAAGTACAGCAGGCTTACTTTATATAACAATACAATTTTATATAATCCTATAACAACGATTTATTCACAGACATCTTCATCCAATTAACTTTTTAAATACTGCGTTCTCTTAAACTTTGTAATTATTTTAACTAATCTTTTGCGGATAAAAACAATTAATAACTAATTCCAACTTATTTTAGAATGTATCTGTAATATGAGGTAAAGTAATTGTAGGAAAAAGTGGGCAAATACACTTAAAGTAATTAACTAAATAAAATATTATATCAAAGCGATGCATGCGATGCTTTTAATATACATATTTCAGTCATATAACGATTACGCAAACAAAAAGAAGTACACAGAGTAAATAAATGATGTAAGCGGGATTACATATAGGATTCTTCTTGCCAACCAATTTGCTATGTTAACGAGCTTATGTGTAAATTAAAAGAGGTTCTCAGATCAAACTAAGTAAAAACAATTAAATTAAAAATGTTTAGACGCTAATACCCTGGCACGGCTCTCGGTGCTTTATTCCTTTAAATTTGTGTTTATCACATTTGAGCCATAGAAATTTTTATTAATTAAAAATTATTGTTATATAAAATAATTGTGACACCCAAACGAGAAGATACATTTTCGTAAAAAAAAGACGTGCAAATAAAAATATTTTAATACCTTTTGATAAAAGTGTAACTATTTACCGACCAACTTGTATATTTATTAACAAGTACGAAATGATTAATAAATAAATTAGCGTTTTACGATCGTATCCTCACTTTTTATTAACGTTCTACAAGTTTTAAAAATTTGATTATTTTATTCTATTATAATTATCTTATTTATCGTCTAAACATAATTACATGACAAATTAAAAACGTAAAGTTGCAAAAAAATGTGAAGAGCGAATAAATTGATTGAAATAAAAAGTTTTCCGTAAAACACAAAATTTATTGTCAATAAATATGATAATTTAATAAAGAGACATTAATCAATAATCGTTTAATTAATACTATCAATAAGAAACAGTTAAAAAAGCATAAATAATTTTATACCTACATTGAAACACGGAAGGAAAAATAGTTAAATAACAACTATATAACTTACCAAATATATATCATATTTATTGACAATAAATTTTGTGTTTTATGGAAAACTTTTTATTTCAATCAATTTATTCGCTCTTCACATTTTTTTTGCAACTTTACGTTTTTAATTTGTCATGTAATTATTTTTCAAATAACTAATTTTATTAGCTTTTATAAAATTATTATAAAGCTACTAAGAATTTATAACGTTTGAAAATGTTTTCCCGTTTTCCTGCGGCTACTTTAAATGGTAAATTTTGAGAACTTCTGCTGTACAAGGACACGTTCAAAACCTTACAAATACGCATAATGTATATCGGTTACCTTATAAAGCTTCCGCAATTCAATATCAGGGTCTGCGCTTGGAGCGAATAATTCAGTAAAATCTATCGCAAGAAACGTTACACCGTGACACGTTTTAAAAGAGTTACGCATTGTGATTTAGTTTGTTCCGCATAAACTGCACCCTCCTTCCCCTTCTTCCACGTGTAACATAATTGTGTTTGTAACTACACAAATTTGCAAGGAATTCCTCATATCTTGGACATTCATTTAGAAACAAAAAAGTGGTCGTGATCGGAATGGCAATTGTTTGTTAACTAGAATCGTATTCATTGACTTGATGAAAAAGTTTTGTAATTACTTCAGCGAATCATGCGACGCGCGATAGAAAACTGCATTTATTCATTTAACAGTGTCATTATTGGCGCTGGCACATACATTTTCCTGTGGTAGAAAATCGTCCACGCTCTTAAATTTTAAAAAGCTCGGGCCAATCGATTCAATCGGTATTGATCTGTTTACTCGAAACACACATGGGAGTTTCACGAACCTGGTACGTAATCCTCGTGGTGATCGCCGCGTGCACCTGCGGTGCACGCACGGAATGCGGCGAAACTGTGCAAATTTCATTTCTAACAAGCGTGCACGATGATCCGTCGTGTACGAAGTTATCGGCGAAGGGTGTTACGCTCTACGAAGCGGCCAAGCTTCTCGCAGAGATTCAGAACAACAAAACTGACGGATTCAAAATCGGTAAATCAAAAGTCTGGCGAAATCGAACAGTCGATTTCGACCGAACATTCCGAATACCTGAATATTTTAAAAAAAACGTCGAACAATTATTCGACAATAATATCAGGACAGAACGTAGTAATTAAAAAAAAACATTGAATCGTGACACGAAAAATTGTTTATAGAAATTACCGTTTTGGACACGTGTGGGAGTATAACGGGTGCTCTGAAAGCGGTGATGAAGGCTTTAGTGTGGGCAGATATCAGCTGTTTGCATCCACCTCATTATCTCGGTAGGATCAATATCTCAACGCATTGTGCGAGCGAAACTTTGACACTGATTTGCAAGATTAATAAGAATTCTTTTTCGTAAACGCGAACATAGCGCGCACAAAGCTACTATACAGGGTGTTGTGTAATACCCGCCTCACCTCTTATTTAATTGCGGATAGAGCGGACTAGACCGAGTCGAAAAGTCCTCTGCCATTTTGCAATTTTCGAAATAGTTTACGAGTTATTAATTATTAAAAATCGCAGGCTTAGCCCGGCCTACCGCCCAATTATTATACGTAACTGTTGCCGTGTGTCATAAACAACTCCCCCGTGCGCCTAGCAACGCCAATCGCGGGACGGCCGGATCACGCCGCGCGCTTGGATTGGGCGGTAGGCCGGGCTAAGACAGCGACTTTTAATAATTAATAACTCGTTAACCATTGCGAAAATTGCAAAATGCTACGGGACTTTTCAACTCAGTCTAATCCGCTCTATCCGTAAATAAGTGGTGAGGCGGGTATCACAGAACACCCCTGTATATTTACAAATAAAAAGGGTGTACTTTCGGTAATCCAGTCGATTTATTTCTAATTATATAGGAATTATCGGACCGGATACCCTAACCAACGTCGAGGCGGTACACAAAGTGACTTCGATATTGAAAGTACCGCACATTGTCAAGAAAGCGTCGATTTCTCCGTATTTGCACTCTTTAACCGAGGAATCAAACTCCTACTTAGTGCAGGTACTTGTCGTTAATTAATTACCTATAAATAAAGCTGGTATTCTCGAGTCTATTACTTATCGAGATCCTTGAGGCTGTACTCTACAAACCGAAGATGATTACCGAAGAATCATTACTTCGATTAAAATAGCTAACTGCGGCGCTGAGCTCATCATAATGTTTGCATAATGCAATAATAATGCAGTTCGTTATGCTGACGCAAGCATTTGAAAGTGTTAGGAAATAATATTGTAATAATATTCGATATTGCACCAGTTTAAGTAGACGTATTAATTATACTATTGCATTTAATCATAATGCACGCTTTATCTCCTCAGTCGATTTATTCTTTAGCTGTATTTAAAATTGTAATATAAGACAATTTAAATGTGTATAATTTTCTAGAGACATTGAAAATACGGTACACGCACAGATCCATATCTATTTAAATATACGTGCTCAAATTTTAACGACAATAGCAATTTTCCTTCATATTCTTTAAGTTGTATCGTTCGATATAAAAACTTATACAATGCAGATCGAATCGTGATATTGTTTCTTAATTCGATTATGGAATATGCTAATTGCAGAAAATAATCTCAGCATTTATTTAGAAATGGCTACTTACTTTTATTACCGACGCAGAATTTACGCAAACGTTTTTGCTTTAGATGCATAGGAAATGACTCACTGTGCATTTACTTTGATACTAAGTTTATATTCTTATATCCGTTGTTTTCTATCAGTAATATTTTTTGTATAAGTTTCGTAACCAACATATTTTCACGACGCGTCCATGTTTTTATGTAATATAGTAATAGAAATGTGGTAAAAAATGTCCATCAAAAAAGGCACTTTTTCATCATATTTAAATTAATTTTCTACAAAAATTAATCTAGAAAAATAAAAACTTTCTCATATTTGTGGTAATATCAAAAGAGATTGTATTTTTATTTTACTTTATAAGCTTGGCTGTGGATTATGTTAGGAAAAAAGTTAGTTTTCTTTCAAAACGTGATTGTTATTGCAATTTCCATAAAGAAATGTATTCAATATTGTTCATATTGTATTTTCCAATAAATAAAGATAAAATTGAAATTTTTCCATACCACACGCTTCATAGTAATAAACGACTGATTACAAGCTTTTATTGTTGTTATCTCTTTTGTAGGGAATCTTGAAAATGATAGAAATCTTGAAATGGAAATCCTTCACATTAGTAGCTAACGTTAATGATGAAAACGATGACGACGTACAAAATATTGCAAAGAAGTTAACGATAAGTGCCATAGCGAACAACTTATGTGTTATAATTCACGATAACGATGAAGAAGGTACGCAATCAGATTCTTATTTTCCTTGTATGAGAAATTTCACGTTTAGCGTATTTTTGCTCAATAACATGAAATAAATTAAAAACGACAGTTTTATAAATGAAATGTCAAGTCTATAATCATTTTAAAATTGTCTAAAATGTCACGAGATTAAAATGTGTCATGCCTAGGTATGACATAATGTTGTCTTAATGACGTAATTTTAAAAGTTCTAGATACCGTAAATTGGTTAGATACTATAAATTTTTTAAGTTTACGGTACATAGTCTATACATATACATTTTTCTTAATTATAAAATTAAAACGACATTAAATTTTCCATAATTTTTAAAATTATTAAACTTCTAGTTAATTCCATATTTTAGCAACCAACCTTCATAACGAAGTTTTATTACAGTAAAGTATGTTTAAAATTGTTTGAAAAATAAACTTTCATTAATATTTTAATTTATTCTCAAGTCCGTATGTTTGTTATAATTTTTTAAATAGAAAAATTCACATAATTTAGATACTATTTTTGCATTTAATATATTTTATTTGTTATAGATTATACGTCACATATTGTACACATTGGGAGACCAGAAGAGAAGTTCTTTAACGGGCCTAAAAATGCAACCATACTAATTGTCAGCGAGGAAAATTTGAAAGATTATTTAAAGCGTATAAATTCAACTAACACCATACTACTTTTAGAAGATTCCAGGTAACTTCAAAATATTTTCATAAAATTTATATTTAGATTTAACAACTTTGTTTGTTCAATTTTTTTCAATGTCTTTTTCGATAAAAACTTTTTGTTGTAACAAGTTTCACATAGAATATCTACTGACAACTCAAAGTTATTACGCAATTATGGAGAATGAAAATCTTTTCGATCTACTTAATTCGTATTTATTCATTTTTCTTTTAACGATCGTAATCTTCGTAATAAATAGCTCGAAGTATCGTGCATAACGTAAAGGCGATGATGCATCTCGCTACCGCCTTATTATTAATCACAAACCGTTCGGTAAAGTTACGTGCACCATGAATTATTGATCGTGATTACATAGAAGCGGAGTAATCGAGCGTGGAAGGTTATCTTCAGTGAATTACAATGGATTTTAACGAGTCTGAAGCATCTTGTTACTCGTAATTGATGAAAATCAGGCTTTTTTTTCCCTCCAGCAACACTCAACGCAGCGTAATATTTCATTGTTAGCAGAAGTGCCGCGGAATTCTCTCATTAAAAAATGCGCATGTGTACTTCGCTATTGTTGCCGACTTCACTATCACTTCAACCGTCAGTAACATTTAACTACATTTGCGTGATAAAATAAATTTTACACCGACCGCGTGTGTCGTGCCGACTGCGCGACTAAAGTGCCGCGTATAAATACACGTCTGAAATCGCGATTTCTATAACTTCCGTCGAATGTGTCGGTCTCAATCGAGGTTAAGGATCCTAGATAAATCGCGGTGAATTGCCGATACCCTTGCTTTTTTTCCCAGCACTACAACGTTTCTCTCTCGTGAATAACCGCCGCGCCGAGGCCATCCTTAAATCGACGCAGAAAAATCTCGTTCTCTATGAATTTGCCGCGTACAGTCCGTTTTGCAGGAAAAGAATATTACAAGTATAAAAATGTGTGTCATCTGGCAAAATTAGTAATTAAAACTTATTCTCATTCAAATAAGGCTCGTTCGCGTTATTTAAATTAACCTTATTTCCTATTAACTATTATATATTTTTCTACGTCTACTTGCAACGATGTTTGTGGAATTTTTCATTAAAAGAGTGTTTCAGAGAATGTCGATTAAAACTTGTGAATATTTTTTAAATTTAATAAACATTATATTAAACACAGGCTTTCATTTCTTTGCAAGTATTTCAGTGTTTTTGTAATTTTTTCACCATTCCTTTCAGAACGAAAGAGTCGGGAAATTAAAACTGTGCATAAAACTCACGATTCTATTGTAGAACCTCGCTGCAACAACCTACGTCATTTTAATTTTCAAATATAACACAAATACCTGTTCCATATCTTTTTCTATATTCTTTATTCCTTAGAAACGTAATTAATGGTCTCGAGTGGAGAGTCAAGAGTTCGCAATGGTGGGAGCCCGATAACAGTTTTGGAAAATACGACGCTAAAGAATTGAAGCGCGTCAGATGGCTAGAAAGCGCTATAGAAATTTACGTGAAAGCTTTAAAACTGCTATGGTAAGTATTAAAAAATTTCTATTGATCGACGGTTATTATAAAAATTGATTAACAGCTTTTGCTAGTCAAGAGTAACTGATCAAACCACCAGTTCAAGTATACAATAGTTGTAATTAAGTGTATGATTGAATCATCGCAAATCAGTTAATTCTGTATAGTTAGACAATAATCTGTGAAATATGAAAACAGACTCAAGCCAAAACGTCCCGTGCAATTATGTTAATAATCATTAAAATTTAAAGTGAAACAAAGTTGAAATGAACTTATTACTATTGGCCACGCCTTTAGACATTTTATTTTTAATTATATATTTATTTTAGTTGATCAAATTTATCAATTTTTACTACTAACTAATTGTAAGTTAACAGATTAGTAAAAAATAAATAATTGCAAGTTATTCTTTGTAAATTGAGGAAAAATCGAACTCTTTAAAGAGAGCTATTTAATTATCAATTAAACATTAATAAAATTGATTGGCACCAATAAAAGCGTCCCTTAATCACGTAATAGATGTATCGCAAATTTTTACTGTTTAATACTGATATTAAATATACCGGATTATCGCGCAAGATTAAATCATTGATTACATTGCAGTAAAAGCAAAAAGTGTAAAAATCAAATAAACCCTCTGGACTGGGATCATATGGTGTCAAACGTATTAGTGACGCACAATGCGGAATCGGAAGCGGCACCGAAATTCCTCGACCTGTCTATGAAAAAGAAGACCGGCAATCTAGAACGGCTGGGTGGCATAATAGTTCGCCAGAACAGAACGCAAGTTTATTGGGGTGAGAGTAAAGCGGACGAGAAAGAAGAGGACGTCGCGGAGGAAACGGAGAAAAGTCGCGGAGCGCGAAAAGGCAACGACAACGTGTCGTACATGTTTCGAGAACTTCTGAAAGGAGAGAACGAGTCGCGGTCGGGATGCGCCACAGCCGTCAAAGAGATTAAGATGTTGAACGAGAAGAACAGCGACGCGACACAAATTCTAATCTCGGGAATGGACGACAACGAGTGGTGGACAATGGTACGCTGTCTTTCGATATATTGTTTTAAATAACTTTCGAGTTCGATTTAAAAAATTAACTGTTTAAAACTTCACATACTAACATTATAAATCGTTGCTTTTGTGACAGACCATATAATTTTTCTACGTCATATTTTCGACATAATTTTCTACATATATTTAGAGAAATTTTCTGATTTTGGTCAGCGGTTTACCCCTCGGGGAAAGGCTAAGATTTCGAAGAAACGAACACTGAGGAAATTTTTCATCGGATAAACCGATTAAATAGTGCGTACGGTGGTTAATTTTTCCGATTAAATTACGGATACATTCGACAAAAATTTATCGGATGAAGCGCAGTTACCGATAAAATTTGATGGAAAAACCGATCACATTTTTCATCGGATGTACAATTTAATCGGACATATCTTTGTTTATCCGATTAAATTTAATCGGGCATTTCTCTCAGTGTAACATAAGTAAACTAGTTTTCGCGTTACAGGTGTGCACGGTAAGCGGCGTGGGCCTCGGGATGTTTCTGGTGGGAATTCTTGCCGTTTACATTATCTACACGAACATACGGGGGCCGAGATGCGTAAAGAATAAAAGTCATTTAGACAGAGACACCAGCCTAAGGAGGATGGGCAGCGACAGGGAACTACCCGCGACTATAACCACCCGTAATCAGCGAGCATTGCATACGCCGCAAAGAAGGGGCAGCGACAGAAGTACTGTATCTGAGAAAAGCGTTTAGGCGTTTAAAAACGCGAACGTGCGCTGAAAATAATGGGTCGCGCGAATAGCGAGTAAAGCGAGCGCTTCTAGCGAGGATAGAAATTTGCTTTGAAATAATAGAACGTGTGCAAGAGCACATTCGTTTTCTTGTTTCTCTGTGAACGTGTTTTCTAGTCATTATAAAATATATCGATAATCTGTTATAATAAATTGAACATTGTTATAATAAAATATAATATAATATGTTATAATAAAATATTCTTTATAATATGTACACAGACCTCAGTTAGCATTTGAATTTATTATCATTTATTTCGTGGACTCGATATAACGTGAATTCCCTGTAATTATTATCACTTTATATAACAATAAATCTAACTCCACGGCACTTTTCAAAATCACAATGCAATATTTGATTCCGACAATGTACTAACAAGCTGAACAATCTAGCCATAAATGCATAAAAATGCCAGTATTACATTCTGCATCTTTATTTTCTGAGCTTTTGCGGATTTTATAAAGTCGTAAAAAAAAATGACCGCGTTTTCAGCGAGTTTAGTGAGGGATACCGATCTGGCTCAGCGATTTGACCAGATCAAAGCCTTCCCGGCAAATGGTATACAGGTTGGTATCCGATACAGAGAAGAACGAGCTTCAAAGTAAAAAGTGAACTCAATATGCTCGGCTCCAACGTCAGGTTTCGCGAGATTGATCCGAGAAGAAAAGTTAAACGATCAATCGAACGCCAGCAGTTCCGCTACGGGAACAAAAAACAAATCTCGCTTCTTCAGACCCCCCGGCAGTGGTGATTTTAGCAGCAACAGTTATCACACTTTTATCACGTCGTTGCACGATGTCGCGCGGTAGTTGTTATGCGTTTATCAAATATATTTTTTCGCGATAACTCACGGTCGCTATTCGTCATTAAGTCTGTGTCGGACTACGAGTTGAGATTGAAATTAGATTGAACTTCGACCAATCAAAGTAAAATTCACTAACCTAGAGATTGGTAAACTTTACTTCGGTCAAACTTCAATCTATGGTAATCTCAATCCCAATCCGTAGTCTGATACGGGCTTTAGAAAGAGAAAAAATTGACGGCGCAAAATTGTATGCGTAAAGTGATTCGCGATCGAGCGTCTTAGCACAATCTTTTTCACAATCTTCGTTCGCAAACTTGTAATTATATGTACACGTGTAAAAAAAACTGTCTAGACAATTTCTTTCTTCCTTCTCGAAACCACCTAACGCTACGTGACGCACGTAATTTTATGAATGAACGACTCATACGATTACTTTTCCTGTTGGAAATAAAAATTCTACGAAATTCTACAAAACTATAAAATATAACTACCAGAAACTAAGAAATTCTACGTACATTTAAAAAGTGTTATAAAAATCAACATGAAAGTGCTGAATATGATTATAGACTAATCATGTAAAATTGAAATTATTGTATCAAATATACTTTATATTTTATATTTTAAAAAATAGGGATTTATTAAAATAATTATATAGAATGCTGAAAAAGTCTTCCTTTTAAATATATAAACTGACAAAATTTTATACGTAAAGAGAATATTAAAGTAACGTTTTCCCCGTGGCGATCGTGGCGCAGAGGATTGTGCGCTGGTCTGCTAATCCGAAGACCTGGGTTCAAAACCAAACAAAACATTGTTGGTTTTTCGTTCGCCACATAGCGAAGTGAATATAGAGAGAGGTGTTAAACAAAACGATAAAACTCGTATAAAAGAAATCACCTCTTTCTTTCCAGATAATCGAGTTGACCAGATAAAAGCGCACCGAGACAAATGGCTGCATTGAAATCGTACCAGTCTTCTTCCATTAGACGTTTGAACGCATCGAGAACATCCGCATCGTTTGCCGTAATACAGGCGTCAAATAAATTGGGTAGTTGGGCTCATTTGTATACATGAATATTCCCTCACTTCAATATTTAATTTAGTACGTATCCCGTACTGAATTGAATATTGAAGTGAGGGACTATCCGTGGTGTACAAATGAGCAACTGCCAAATTTATTTGACGCCTGTATATTACGGTAAACGATGCGGATGTTTTTGATGCGTTCAAAAGTCTAATGGAAGAAGATTGGTACGATTTTAATGCAACCATTTGTCTCGGTGCGCTTTTATCTGGTCAACTCGATTATCTGAAAAGAAAGAGGTGATTTCTTTTATACGAGTTTTCTTCTATTGTTTAAAATTTATTAATTTCGTGACAGTGTATGGTACAAATTTCCTGATCATAAAATACGCACTGTTCTATTTCTATTTAAAAAACGTGACAATTTAGCATTGCAGTATTATTTAATAGCATTATAATTAATTCTTTTTGCGCACCAGAGTGGTAATACCTTTGTTTGGCCTAATGGACTTGTCTCTTGAACTCTCGACGAGCGATTTACTTGCGAACATTTTTGCTGGACCTTCAAACGCTTGAAGAAATATAATAACATATCTATTTGGGACACGAGGGACTAGAGTCCCTCATCAGAATCAAAACTATGCTTGTGGGTAAAGTTACGTACAGGGTAGATTTGACGACGATGTTTTTTACCCCCACGCACAATGTTAATATTAATAATAACAATATTAATTTGAAAAATAAATTTTTTAAGTATTAGAAAAACATATCGATGATACATTTTCCGGATGCTGATAACTAAAGTTAAAATAACAGTAGTACTTGTTACCTTTTATATCGTCGTGTAATTAACTTTTACAATTTCATCAAACATGCAAAATAAATCATAATCAAATGTAAATGTTTTTATTTTATTACGATAGTGATGTTATCAAGTGAATCAAACATGAATACATTTACTTGCAAATTTGATTTATATCGCTATAAAGTATTAAAAATTGCATTTATATGTTTCGTATTCTTTCAATGTCGATTACTATGTCGACAAGCAGAAACGAAATACTGAATAAATTTCTACATATTAGAAATATCAGAGAAGACACCAATGATTCGTGTCATGCGCTTTCTTATTTTGTTCGATAAAATTATAATACACAAATATACAAGGATATAACAGGTAACAGGTAGTGCTGTTACTTTAATTTTGGTTATTATGAGAATCCGAATATTGTACACACCCGATATGCATTTAAACTACTTAAAAATTTTGTTTTTCAATTTTTCTTTTTTCCAACTCTAAGGGTTACAAGTGAGAAACCTGTTCCAATTTTGTCCGATCGGGTCATTCGAATTTAATAACATTGTAATTAATTCTTTTTGCGCACCAGCTAATGTTAATATACCTCTGTTTGGTATAATGGACTTGTCTCTTGAAGTCTAGACGAGCTATTCACTTGCGAACATTTTTTATGCACCCTCAAATGCTTGAACAAATATAATAACATATCTAAACGTAACATTGACATAGAAATGTCATATAAAAATTTCAAACGTTTAAACATTCGAGTAAAGTACAAATTTGGAACACGACGGACAAATTGTGCAAATTCAGAGTCAAACTATGCTTGTAGGTAAAGTTACGTACAGGGTAGATTCGACGACGATGTTTTATTATTCCCACGCACGATATTAATATTAATAATAACAATATTAATTTGAAAAATAAATTTTTTAAGTATTAGGAAAACATATCGATGATACATTTTTCGTATGTTGATAATAACTAAAATTAATGTTTCACTCAAGTCGATTATCGATCGGCTTTCGGATATTAATTTTATCATTTAACATGTGTTACGTCCTGTGGACTCCACGATTTCTCTCTTTCAAAAAACCATAAGAAACATGTTGTTTCTTCCCTTGGAAACTACTATTTTAGAAATCAGCGGATATCGACTAGCCAACGCATGAGTCCCCTCCCCATAAAAATTTATTGCCAGAGTTTCACTTTTCGAAACTCGAAACGTAAAGTGCCCTAATTGTTGCTGGTCGATAGCCGTTGAAATAATAAAAAGGGGAGAAACAACAGACAGATGGGATCAGGCCCTTTCAGACGGCAATTTCAAAATCCAGATTTCCAAAATATTACGATCCGAGACACTAAAAGGGGATTCAAAAAAGATATAAACTTGACCCAAAAGTGAAACTCGGAATTTTTCGAAAGCCGCTGAAGGAAATGATACCCATAAATAAATATCAAAGGGCGACAACGACTTAATGGTCGGGTTGCCAATAAGAAAGACAACTCCCTGACACCTCCCACTAATCCACCAATGAAGAACCAAAATCCAAAATCTCCTTCCGCGTCCCATGACCAAGACCCACCCCCGAAAAATCGTATATAAACCCGAAGCCTGCTGCCTCAGCCTCTTTGGCAGCTCCCAACTCCTGCAGTACAGTTCTTTCCGCGATCCTCCGAGTTCTGAGTCAACATTTTTTTTATTATCAAATCCAAGTAGAATCTGTGCGCGGTTTCGCCTTACGGTCTGCGAAACTGACCCACCCGCCTTCGCCGGAGAATCCACCAGCTCCTTTCAACGACCGCAATCAGTAGTAAGTCACACGTTTCCTTTTCTTTTCATTTCGTTTCGGCTCGACGACCTCCTTCCCCCCTATATATATATTTTTTTATTATTATTCTGAGGGTCCTTCGCTAGATTCTAAAAAATCTCGTTCTTGCTCTCGCGAGTTGATTTCAAGACACCCTTCCATCCTTTAAAAATTCGTTTCGTGCCTCCGGACTCACCGTTTGTGTGAATTCGGTACGATTCGAATATTTCCACCC